GGAATTCCATGGGACTTCATTAGCTACCACATGCAGGCTCGATTCCTACTCTTTTTTTCTATTCCTGTACCAGATGTAGTCAACTAATGAAAATGACTTCCTTAGCTTCTTCACGAATAATCATCAAGTCTCTTCGATGACCCAAGCAGCTGTTTTGGGATAACTGCGATTTTGCGTGCACTCGCTAATATGGTGTTTCTGCAGGAAAGCTTGAATGAACTGCGTCTATCGTTTTCGCTTACTTGCGAGTATCACTGTTGCTTTTTTTCCAGCCCATTTTCACATTGGATACATCCAGAAATGCAATAGTAATATATCCGAGAAGAGGGCTAATCGCGCCCTACGATTTTTTGCTGGAGCTGCGCTCAGATCAAATGGGTATCTAAAAGATAAACAAAAAAACCAATTTGTGAGAGTTAGGGCGAATTGGGATATTACTAAACGAAGCATCGGATGATGTAAAATGCAGTAATAAGAATTGCAGTCGACAACAACCTGCGCGTCATTTTTTTATTCTGCCCACTTGGACCTACACAAGCAAATGATAATTCTTACGATTGGATTGATCGCTGCGTCCACATGCTTTGCTGCGGCTTGGAGAATACATATGCGGGAAATCGAGGCTAGTGCAAAGTGCTCAGTCTCTGTGATTTGCAAAGATTCCCTCCGCAAATAACTGTTTTTTTAAAATTTGGTATGATGTATATATTGGTCGCATAGATGTTGCCAAATATACTTAGGATGCTTATTCAACTAGGGTTACGGAACACTGAGAATCGCTCGAATGGCGTGAATTGAAGCCAGAGGAGCAGGGCGAATATGAGTGGGCAGGACTATAATCAAACCAGTGCTTTTTTTGACCAATTGTACGGTTATTCCGGCTAGTGTTGTACGAGTGCTCGGGCCCCCCCACAAGTGATACAGTTATCGATAGTAACAAAGGACTATATCTGTAAGCCTCTACATTCCAGTTACTTCCCACTTTGTTGATTTCCACCGGCGTTCAGTTGTTGAATTGATTTTAGCTATCTGTAGAATGCGTTATCGTTAAAGTCGTCTCGAAACGTAATCTGCAACATGGCCCATGCCAAGCTGCCTAGTGCCTT